CCGCGTATGTGATTGGCGGTCGATGATGCGTCGATGAGAGGTGTGAACGTTTTATCGAGTTTAGTTCGGTGTTTGACAGTTTGGTGTGACAGTTCGGTGAATCAATAATTAATAATTATTAATTACGAGCTGAGACTTATCAAGGATTAATTGATTATTTAGCAAACGTTGCCAATAATAGCGATGCTCACATTGGAAAAATGATTATATCATACTTCCATCGACATTTGTGGGTTCACCGCGTAATATGTTGCAACATTATCAAGATGCGATGGCTATTGTTCGGAAATATGGAAAACCAGATATCTTTGTTACTATGACTTGTAATCCAAATTGGCGCAAAATTAAAGAGAATTTACTTCCAAATCAACAACCTGCAGATAGGCCAGATATATGTGCTCGCGTTTTAATATAAAAAAGGATTATTTAATCGATGTTATCGTTAGACAAAAATTTTTTGGTGAAGTTTTGGCATACGTTTATGTAATAGAATTTCAAAAACGTGGATTACCACATATACATTTGTTAATTACATTAAATCGGAATTATAAGATAACAACTTCTGAAACAGTTGATAAATTTATTTCCGCAGAAATTCCTGATCCTAATGAAAATGAAAGTTTACATAATGTTGTAATGAAACATATGATTCATGGGCCATGTGGAGATTGGTGTCTGATAAACGATAAATGTTCGAAACATTTTCCAAAACCATTTCGACCCGAGACAATTATGGATGAAGATGGTTATCCACAATATTGTCGAAGAAATAATGGATTGTTGTATGAAAGACCTGGACGATATGTTGTTGATAACCGATATGTTGTTCCATTTAATCCAATGCTTTTACTTTTATTTAATAGCCATATTAATGTTGAAATAGTTTCGAGTATACGGTCTGTAAAATACTTGTATAAATATATTTATAAAGGTCACGATTCTGCGTCTGTAATTATTGGAGAAAATATAGATAAAACGATAATTCATGACGAAATTCAAGATTTTATCGAAGCTCGTTATGTCGGGCCCGTGGAAGCTTGTTGGTGTATTTTAAGCAAACCTTTGCAAGAGAAAAGTCACGCTATATTTCGTTTACCGATTCATTTACCAAACGAACATAGTGTAATAATCGATAATATTATTAATAATGATGGAATAAGATCTGCCGTAGAACGAGTAACAATGTTGTTTAATTATTTTGAGTTAAATGCTCGAGATGAGAAAGCGAAACAATATTTATATACTGATATTCCATCTCATTATGTATTTAAAAAAGTTACAATTAACGGCAGAACCATTAATCGCTGGGAGAAACGTCAAAGATATTTTAATTGTATCGGTCGTATGTATTCCGTCAGCCCGTCTCACAATCAGATAGAATTGTTTCATTTACGTATACTTTTACTACATGTTAGAGGAGCTACGTGTTTTCAAGAATTAAGAACAGTTAATAACGAGATACATCAAACTTTTATGTTTAGCAGTTTAGCATTAGGATTCATAGAAGATGATGAAGAATGGTATCGTGCAATGAACGAAGCAAAAGTTTGGATGATGCCAAAATAATTTATTCGAAGGATCAAATATTGCTAATTTTCCTGAAATGGAACAATTAACAGAAGAACAAGAAATAGATGATGAAGAACAGATTCAAGAGGATACATTGATAGGTATGCGACAATATGAACAATTAAGCAGAGAACAAAAAGAAATTGTTGATAGTATTTTAGTAACAACAGCAACTAACGATCACAGTAATAATTGTTTTTATATCGATGGTCCAGGTGGTTCTGGTAAAACTTTTATTTATACAACCTTGTATTATTTATTTAAGAGCAGAGGAAAAGTAGTAAGTACTATGGCATTTACCGTCATTGCTGCGATATTACTTCCAAATGGGAGAACGATACACAAAGTTTTTGGGTTGCCTGTACCTCTTTTCCCAGATTCTACATCGAACATTAAAGTTCAATCTAAAGAGGCTGAAAATTTAAAACTTGTGGATGTTTTTATTGTAGACGAAGCTCCTATGGCACCACGTTATGTATTAGAAATAATGGATCGAACATTACGCGATATAATGCAAAATGATTTGTATTTCGGTGGTAAAATTATTCTTCTTGGTGGAGATTTTAGAGAATTATTGCCTATAAAAGAAAGAGCTACACGTTGTGAAATTATAAATTTATCAATAAAATATAGCATTTTATGGAAACAATTTAAAATATTTTCATTGACAGAAAATATAAGAGCTTTACCAAAAGAAAGAGAATTTGCACAATTTTTATTAAAGTTAGGTAATGGTTCTTTAAATGATCAATTGGATAATATTCAGATTCCAGAAAGATATATAGCAAACACTAGCTCAGATATGATAAAGGAATTGTATGGGGATATTATAAGACATAAGCGATATAAAACTATCGCTAATTATGTTATATTATCTGCAAGAAATGCCGATGTTAATGAAATAAATGAAAAAGTAGTAAGTTTGTTGGATAAAACAACAGAGAGAGTTTATACAAGTGTGGATAACCTTGAAGCGACTGGTGATAACGAAGATATACATGAAATATATATGACGGAATATCTTAACTCTTTGAACCCAACATGTCTTCCACCACATGAATTACGCTTGAGAAAATACAGTGTTGTTATACTTATTAGAAATCTTAGTATCAATGAAGGTTTATGCAATGGTACCAGACTATTAGTTTTAGATTTAGATAGTAACTTATTACAATGTGAAATTTTAACAGGTAATAAGATTGGAGAAATTGTTTTTCTTAATCGCATCACTTTGTATTGTGAAAATGTATATCCATTTACTTTTAAAAGAAGACAATTTCCAGTGAAATTGGCATTTGCTATGACTATA